TGAAACAGGGGTGGTCTCCACTGCAATCCCAGCAAATGTGCCTAAATTTGCATGGATCGTATGAGCACCCTTTCTTTGTGTTAAATTCACTGCAGATGGGGACAGTCCCTGCCCCTTTCACCACCACTATAAATTGTTTTCCAATTTTGCGTGTATTATCAGTATCCACTCGCTTTTGACTTTGGTTGTTTCCATTTGTTCCGTTGTATGGTTTCTTGTTATTGCTTGGAATTCCCTTGTACTTGTAGCAGATCTGTCATATCCCGGAATCCCGACCCTGCGCACTCCCACCACATCACACCTTCCTAACAACTTCACCATCCCCTACACCACGCCTCCCCACTCCCCAGGTCACCTTCCCTCCTGACTGTCTCAGCTCTGGTCTGGTTGCGGCACACCGAACCTTGGCCACTCCCACCCCGGAAGCTCGGTCCTGAGTCAGAACATTCAGAGACTCCGGATTTGCTCCGATATCCCGATGGACCTCCGATATCCCATGACACACCCTTAAACCATTTCTCCACCCATTTCATTTATTTGAGTCACTCAACATCCTTCAGATACACAACTCCGCTTTCGGAGTTACCTGCATCCTTCAGTGATCTCACTCACGTCATCACTTATTAGTCACCCTCCACTCTTAGCACAACTATCTTCTTCTTACCATTCAGTCAGCTAACCCCCCTTACCCATTTCTCGTTGCCATTCATTTTCCAGCCTCTTACTCTGCCCTCTATGGTCCGACACCTCGGTTCCCCGTTAAAGATATTGTTCGGCACCTTTCGGTGTCGTCCCATTGTCATTCAGACTTTAACTAAGTCCTTTCCACTCCCCTTTATAAATACCCATAGATTAGAACCTGTAGCTCCTCAGTTCTAATCTCGACTAAAATGCTACCCAAAGTCCCTCTGAGTGAATCCCATTCCGTTCTACAAGATACCTCAGACATAAGAAATACAAGGACTAACTGAGACGTAATGGAGGCACAGCGCTCCCTCCGAGTCGCTGAGGCCGCGTCCTTCTTAGAGCCTCTTTGTCAGAGACCAGGTTCGAGACGAAGGAAAGTCTCCATGGCGGAGGGCTTTGGCCTCAGCAACTTATGCCAAGAGCGCTGTGCCTAGTAACACATCTGTGCCCTAACTTACTAACTGGCAACCAGAACTGAAGGGGGTAACTCTAGTCGATTTTATTACTGAAGTGTAACCTATGTACACGTTGGATATATATATGGTTACAGCAAAGACGGGTCCGCAAATGGTGGAGCCAAATGGAGCGGAGCTAACAGGGTTAAACATTAGCTGACTGAATATTACCGACGAGTTGGGTTGCGGGGTTAATGGAAAGGCGGGCGATAACCCAGAAACGGAAAGGAGGGATAGGCCCGAAGGTGGGCTCTGCAGGGCAGGCAAGTGTATTGCCCAGCAGAGGTGGGAGTGCGCTAGCGGACGTCGGAGCTGTCCGGAAGTCTTCGGGGCTCCGTACTTAGGGAGGTGTAGGTAATAAATTGAAAGGAGGGGGTGGTGACCATCGAGGGTTACCGAGAGGATTGCGGAATACGGGAGCTCCAAGGTTAGTAAAGAAGGAGCAGAGGTAGACCAGAGGGATCGGAGGGGCCGGAAGTCGATGGCCAGGAATGGATATGACACTCTTGTACCATCCAGCAGAACCGGGCTTCCTGGAGAAGCTTCGGTCCACCACCGGAGCTCTCGGATCCCCCTCCAGTTGAGCCCCGCCTGCATTCGGACTCACGCATTTACCCCTATGATCCGGATTTTTGACAGATCACGCATGTCTGGTTATTTCTCTGAACTTTCTCATTTGCTGTCTTGCTTGTTTTTATTGTTTGGGTTCCCTTGTACTAGTAGATGGATCACGTGTGTCTTGCTGCGCTTGCTGCCAATCCATCCTGGGCCTCCTGGGCCATCTTCCGCTACAACCTCAGTCAAACCTGATTAGAATTAAAACAACAACTCCATTTGTTGATGGATGGATGGATGTATGTATTCATTTTAAAGTACATATCTGTGCCTATCGGCATATGCCGTTGTAGGAGGGCACAGCAAGTACCACACAAACAAGGCCAGAACCACATTTTTCGAGGCTCCAACGAGCACCCTCAAGCCTCCGACACATTCACAATGCCCACGGCACATTTCCCCATTTTTTCCAATTTTTTCCATGCTTTTTTTCTCAAGACTCATATTGCCACTTCCCCAAAATTCACGGATATCCACCATTTCCCCCATATCTCCACCAATTCTCCACCAATTCACACGATTTTGAGCTTGAAGGACAGCGACGGATCAGGAGAAGAGGATGGAAGGACGGGATGGGAGTTAGGATGACGGATATGCGGTGGAGAAGCGAGATTGATGGTTGATATTGACCTTATGGGCCTCAATTATTGATTTTATTGTTACCTTGTGGACATTTTTTTTTGCCTTATTGTTTCTTAGCCGAGCTCTCAACATTCTTCCTGTTTCCATCGCCACCATCCATCGGCTATTTTACTTGTTTTTTTGTTCTGATTTCTCTTTTTTTCTATATATACACCCAGTTTGCATTGTACTTACAGTTGTTGGACCCCTCATCTGTGCTACAAAGACTGTGGTGTTGAGCGACCCTCCCATACGTTTAAAGAGCTTAGTCTGACTCCCTGACAACTGTCCAAGAAGGACCAGGGTGAGTTCTGAGTTTTAAAAGAATTTATTAGTATCGTGCACTTGCACCGGGACCGTGTGCGGCCATACCGGTAGTAAGATTTCCTTTGCCCCCTTTTTCTTTTCTTGTTTGCTGCTGGGTTACATCCCTAGCACGCTTACACCGTACTATAATGATGCAGGTGAAAAATGTTTGGAAAGTAGTGAGAGGTGTTAAGTGTCAATGGGTGGATGATGTTGGAATTTGCACGTGGTCTTTTAGGGAAACCTAAAAGTTGGACATACTGGGAATCAAACTCCAGTCCTCTGGATCGCGAACTCAGTGTGCACAGCCATTACACCATACGCCCTGTTAGGCTGAGGTGGTTATTTCAACAGATGAGACATCGAGTATCAGGTGGTATGGAGAGTAAAGTGGAGTGAAGAAATAACACATAAGGACGTGCGTCCCCTGCACTGGACAATAGTAACAAATGATGTGGAGAAATGTAAAGCATAGTGAAGAAATAGTGCATAGAAGAGACACGCGACCCCCAGTGCAGGGGGTGCGCGGTTTGCTGCTGTAAGCCCAGAAAGGTGACGAAGAAAGTGGGGTGTGTGGGCACAGTTCTTGTGGGTGAATTGGGTGAAGGCTCCATGTGTTGTTGGATTGATACCCCAGGCCTAGGGTTTGGCTATGTCTCGGTTGGCTGTTCGGTGTGACAGCAGTTCTTGTGGGTGGGTTGAGGTGAAGTGTGTTCTTGTGAGATTGCGTCTCGGTTGGCGGTTCAGTGTTTAGGATGGCAGCCGAGGGTGTTAAGTGGCTTCCAGCTCATGTGTTCAATAAAAACATGCGGTGGAGGGGCGGTCGGTTGAAGAGGTAGTGGAGAGAAATGAAAGTTTTGCGGTGATGGCAGCCTGGTGTTACCACTATCACGCCTCATCACTCTAAGAGGTAGTGGAGAAAATGAGAAGGAAGTGAGTTGGGGTGATGGCCCTCCCAGCGCTACCACTATCGCGCCCCATGATCCCAAGAGGTAGTGGAGAAAGAAGGAAGAAGGGTGTTGGGGTGATGGCAGGACTTGAACCTCCACTCCTCCGGCCTGCCCATGGACTTATGGAGGCTACCATTGGCGCTACCACTATTGCACCTCACCATCCCAAAAGGTAGTGGAGAAGAGAAGAATAAGGAAGGGGTGACGGTGGGACTTGAACCCACAGTCCTCTGGCCAGTCCCGTCTGGGCTTACGGAGGTCACCATTGGCGTTGCCACTATCGCGCTCGTCATCCCAAAAAGGTAGTGGTAAGAAGAAAAAGGAAGGGTTGGCTTGATGGCGGGACGTGCACCCGCGCTCTTGCATCTCTCCAGCCAGTGCGGCTCTGGGCTTACAGGGTTGCGGTTGATTGGCATTACCACGGTGGCCATGTCATCCTCCCTTCAGATGTTAGAGGCCTAATTAGTTTTAAACAGGGGCCGCGTGAAGGTTTAGGCCCGTGCCGGGTGTTCGCTGTGGTAGCAGAACTCCCCCTCGACTCACATCCATCGTCGAGGCCCAACTCCGTTTGTTGACTAAGTATATGACTATGGGACAGGGACACGTGGTGGGAACAAAAAAAGTTCCCAAGGTGGCAGGGTTCCCATGAATTGTGAGGCAGAAGTGACCTTGCAAGCAAGGTAATGTTCGCGCAGCTTTCCCCGGTTCGCCATACTTTGGGATTTGTATATCCTTGGTTATACAGCCTCGTTTTGGCCTATTAGGCCTATTAAATACCCCACCTCTTAAGGTCTCCGAGAGAGGGTCGACCAGCTTGGATGTACTGGGGGAATGTTTTAGGTTTAAGTACTCACCTACTACCGTTTACTTTGAGATTTACCAACGGGACGCTTGCTCTCATCACAAGTCGAAACGAACAGTTCACAAAACAGAACACATTTCCTGCAACCATCCAGGCATTTGTATGTTCTAAATCCCCTGTATAAACCTATCCCATGCTCAATAACAAGCGTTGCATGCCGTTTGCCCGTTTCACTCCGACCGTTGCACACAAGTGAGACTCATCATTGGATTGTCCTCAAAATGCAATTCGTGTCAACTAGCAAAGTGTTTGGGTTTTCAAGGATTGGCATGTGCAAGCCACATATTCAGACAACTGTACACTTCGCGCTGAACTGAACCACAAGCGCGCGTTTGTTTTATTCTGGGTGATTCTCTTCGTCATCCCGCCGCCTTAGGCAGAACCCCAGCCTTTACCGCCGCCTCATGACCATTGAGGTTGTCCAGTGTATTACTATACATGAGGGAATATTACACGGTAAGTGGTTGATCTTCTGGTTTAGTACTGTATTTTCAGGGTACACTATTCTGGATTCTGGGAGCGCTAAGGGTGGGAACCTCGGAATAAAATCCATTCAATGTCTCACACGCTCCGCTCGCATATTCTGCTACAGGCATAACCTTCGCAAGGATCAGAACCCCGTCCTTGTCTCGGAGTTTTCCCTGCGTATGCGAGCACACGTTACTCTGCACAGAGTCATACACCCCGATCGTTTTGCTTCCGACACACCGCGTTCTACCATCAATGCAATGGCATCTAAGAGGCAACGCCACGACACTGCAGATGCTTACACAAAGATTCCTACTCCTGATACACCAGATGCCGCTATGGCCATTGTACGCGGTCTCGTTGAAAAGTTCGGTCTTGATGTTTCAAAAGAGGACGACTCAGGTCTCTCACTATTTCCACTGTCTTGGAATCTGGTGTGCTAACGGTTGACATAGATCATGGTGCGAGAGTCAGCTTTTCCAAAACCACATATGAGCAAGTCGCTCCTTGCGTCGGACTTGGATCTTTCGGAATGTTGGAAGACATTGGAACCTTTGAAATCCACCGTTGTCGCATTCCCCTAAAGCTTTTCAAGTCGATTGTGATGGACATGGATATCATGTTAATCCAATATGGCCCCCCTTTTGATCATGAGACGGTAGAGACGAGATCGAGGTTCTTCTCTCCGGTACGGATAACTGATTTGCTTGCGACCCAAAAGTTCACCACAACCAATAGGTTTTCAACCACCTCGTTAAGCAGTTCACCTTCATGCTGAGGAATCACCCAGAGATAATTGCTGGTGACATTGCTACGCAGGATCGCATCGGGCACTTCTTCAAAATTTTTGGTGCTGTTGCGGTTCTTTTGATCGAGATGAAGCGCCTTGTGGGTAGTAGCGAGGAACGTCTGAAGGGTATTGCTCAGGTCATAGCCAAAAGTGATGGTAAGTCTCAGCGTTTCAGGGTTACATTTTCTGCTCGAACTCCCAGATGTGCAGGCTGCGACCTCAACAACTACACTCATGGTTTTTCTCTACCTATCTACTGCATTTTCTCCGATGGCTGGTCCTTCGAATTTTTCAAGTTCGAAAGAACACCAACTCCAACTTTTCTACGTGGCTGCTTTCGAGGGGACCCGAAACCCCTCCGGCGTGGCCTGCCGCTATCCGACAATAGAACCATGGAAACTCCTCTCCCTTGGATTCTCCAGCTTCGTTGTGTATGCGAAACAATCTTTGATGTGATGCTGAGCGGGTATATCGCAGGCTTGAAGGCATGTTACAATCAATTGAAACACAAGGGGAAGGAGGATTCAAAGAGTTTTGATGAATGGGATCGGGCCCTTCGATTGGCTGAACGTGCACAGGCAACGTTTAGGGAGGCTGAGGTCCTGTGCGAAGATGGTAATATTGTGTCTGCGGATGTGATCGCTGATGAAGCTCTTCTTGCGCTACAGGAGAGGTATGTATTCCACTTATCTGTGCATCGGAACTGTAATTCCCTACCCTATCTCAGTACAGGAACAGTGCCGACTATTTACGAGTCGGAACTCTTCATGACGGGCTGGGACGATGCTGAGGTTAACAGAGCATCCCTGCATTGTTTTTGGTGTTGAACTTTGCTGATATCTTGTATGCCATTCAGAGTGCTATGCCTATTATTTATGTTTTATGTCTTTCCTCATGTACCATTGGAACCTTTTCCTCTCTATTGTGTCCATTAACTCAGTGTATCATACTTGGTAATGACATTATTACTGTGTTTTGAGGCAGAATATCTGAGCCTCAATATCCAGCTTCAGATATATGTAACCAAAAGTCCAATGTAATATTACCTTGCTTGCAGGGTGTCATATCCATCCTCTGTGTCAGGGACACGGTGAGGAGGGGCAGTGTTCCTGGACCTTTCCCTGGAAGGGAGGCCGGAGGTAGAGAATGGGCGGAAGGACCGTGGCCTCAGCGACTCGGAGAGGAGCACTGTGCCTACATTTGATAATGCTTAGGAGTCTGGTCCTTAACTTCAGAACAAGGGGTGCGAACTCTGGGGGATAGTCTTTGTCATCGATTTTGCACTGAGGTGCCATCAACTACAGTACATGACTTATATACATAATACAAGACAAATTGGAAACAAAGGGAAAACCCAAGAGGGACTTACCCACTTGCTGGGTTGGTGAGCTCATGAGAGAATTGCCTTATCAAGCATTGTGGAGTAGGTAGGTGAAGGGTGGAATTAGCAACAGCTATTGGAAAGTGGGAAAACCTTTGCAGGGTGGGCAGAGGTCCTAGGAGGTCTGTAGTAATATTGGGTGGATCAAAATATTAATAAACGTTTAAGGTGAGGATAAGAGGTACCGGAGAAGGTACCGGAGATTGGAGGTGGAGGTGGACCGGAGGTGTACTGGAGGGTATGGTGGAGGTGTGGGGGGAGGACGGACCAGAGGTGGACCAGAACAGTGGTGGAGTAGAGTGGAGGTTAGGTGGAGTTGGTATGGATATGACACTCTGCCACCACCCTCTGTCACCTCTGGCCATCCCTGAAAAACCTCTGCTCTGACCTTGGAACCCCTGAATTCTGCATTCACCTCTGAACCCCCTGATGGTCATCACCCCTCCATTTCCATATATTACTTATGCCTCCCTAAGTATGGAATCCTGAAGCCCTCCAGACAGCTCCAACATCTGCAAGTGCACTCCCATTGTTAGAGGAGTGTGGAGTTGTCTGGAAGCAGAGAAGGGACTCGGAGTGGAGGGACCTTGGCCTCAGTGACTCAAGTGGAGCGCTGTGCCGTTGCTTGTTGTCTAAGGTGGTCCTTAACTTCAGGTTAGCAGGGGGAGTCTCTTTGGGGGACAATCCAGTCATCATGGTTGTTGATTTCAGACTGGGGGTACAGGAAACTAAGTACAGAGTATATATATAATACAGGAGTGGAGTCAGAGGACAAAGGGGACTGGAAGGAGGACAAAGGGGGACTGGATGAGGGAACAACCCCAAGGGTCAAGGGTTGGAACTCTCTGGTGCTTCCCAAAAGGGCAAGGCCAAGAGGGGAAGGAGTGGAGGGGGTTGTGGGGAATGACAGCTGACTGAAAGGAAGCAGCTGTCTAAATAAGGAAGAGGCAACAAGAGGATTAAATGACACCATACAGTAGAGACTGCAGGGTCCAGAGTAAGTTCTGGAGGTCCGGAGTTGGAAGTCTAAGTCCAGAATATTGGCAAGACATAATAAATGAAATGTAATAAGGAATACAAGGAGATAAGACAGAGGAGGAGGTCAAAGTCCAGAGGCAGAGACATGACCAGAGTTCCAGAGGTGGAGGGCGATGGGGTTCCGGTACAGGAGTCTGGAGCCAGAGGTGTGGAGCATCGCAAACTCTGGTCTGGAAGGTACAAGGTTGGGATCAGACCCAGAGTAAACTGGAGTCAGACCAGAGGTAGTGTTGGACATTGTGTTGGAGCCAGAGGTAGAGTGGGCTCTCAACAACCAACAGGGGAGGAGGAGGTGGAGGATGTGGAGTTCTGGAGGAGGAGATGGAAGTCCAGAAACAGGAGCGGAGGTCCAGAGTTGTATGGATATGACACCCATCCCCATTAGGCCATTGAGTCACCTACCCTGCAAGTTTGCCTTCGGACTGCCTCCTCCATTCCCTTTCTGGGTAACATTCAGTTGACTAACCCATGATCCCATTATGTCAGCCCTGCCCAGCTCCTGCCATTTATGGGCCCCTGCCTATACTATATATACCAAACCTGTAGATATGTACTGGAAAACTCAGTCAGATGATCAACTAGAGTTTCCCCTTTTTAGAAGACTTGTTAGAACCAGAATTGGAGACTTATCATGGAGGGACCTTGTCAGGGCACAGCACACACCCTCAGGTACCCTTCCCCCATTTTCTCCTATTTTTCCCTTCACTGTTCCACAATCCCGCATGCATGCAGACCTGTGGGAACGTTCTGGGCAAGTTACTCACCCAGAAACCATCACAGCCACAACCATGGGAACTTTCTGGGCGAGCTGCTCACCCAGAATCTTCCCATGGGGGGGGTGCTAATTATGGAAAGTTGGCAAAGAGCTGAAAACTGTATAGTTCCCAACTCCCATTTGTAGTGGCTTCACAGGAGGTTGAGAAGGTCACCCTTCTTCTCAACTCATTTCCTGTGAAGGCTGGGGTTAGCCCCCTCAGTGAGTTTGAGGATCTCGGACTGGGACTAGACACCCCAGCAACTAGGAGGATCTCCCTGGCCCTGTCACGGAATGAGGGCAGGACCCTGACAGCAGAAGAAGGGTTAAACCAAGTTGCACCCCCCACCCCGATGTCGTTAGAGGAACAGATTGCAGAGCTGACATGCCAGCTCCAGGACCTCCAAGCCCAGCTGACCACTCAAGGGCAACCTGCAGCTGCAGTCCCTCCACCCCTCCATCATGCTGCAGTCCCAAAACCACCCAAAGTGGCCGCCCCCACCCCATTCTCCAGGTCCCAAGATGACCTAGACTGTTTCAAGGCCAAGTGCGGGCTCTACATGAGCATGTGGCACATGGAGTTCCCGGATGAATGTAGCCAAGTCCTATTTGTCCTCTCCTACATGAAAGGAGGCACAGCAGGGCCATGGGCCACTCAACAAATCAATACCCTCCTGGCCCCAGAGGCCCCAGCCACCACCTTCGACGACTTTGCTGCGGAGCTAGACTCTATGTTTGCTGATCCCAACCACCAAGCCACTGCCTGCCAGAAACTTGTCTCGCTCCGACAGGGGAATGAACCAGTGGACAAGCTGATGCAGCAGTTTGAGCTGTATGACCCTATTTCACGGATGGGAGATGTCACCCTGGTGGACCGCTTCGAGCACGCCCTCCACCCCCGGCTCTGTGAGAGCATCTACCGCCTCCGGCCCATGCCCACAACTTGGGCTGAGTGGAAGCGTGAGGCCTCAGTTCTTGACAACCAATGGCAGTGATTCCAGGCCACCCAACCTTGCCTCCCAGCCACCAAGCCATCCCCCTTCCTCTCCCAACCTGCTCCAGCACCTGCACACCCCACCACCCCAGCCACCATCCCGACCCCGGCCCTGAAGCCAGGCCCCCAGCCTATGGACCTGGACCGCATGTGCCCTCCCCGGGAGGAGCAGAGATGAGCAGGTTATCAGAGACCAGGTCGAGACGAAGGAATGTCTCCATGGTGGAGGGCTTGTCAGGGGACGACTCCCGGGTCCCCATGACCCTCCCCTAGGGCCCACAGCCTCAGGTCTGGCCAGCCCTATCCAGGGCACAATCCTACTGTGGGTCAGAGATGGTATATAAAAGAGAGGCAAGTATATACAACTTGCCTACTGTCAGGGCAATAGCCCCGAACCCCGAGTCATATGTAAATTAGATACATATAGTCATGTGGGTAAGTGGGAACCTCCGGGTAACTGCTTACACACCACCATAAAATACACATACTTGTATCACTTACAGCTTTGTGTGCTGAGCTACCCAAAGACCTCACACTTTTTTAAGTGTATGAGGTGTGTTTTACAACACAACCCACAACAACTACATAATCTTAACATCTGACTCGGAAGCGCCTATGGTGCCTAAACACGCCCGCAAGGGCAAAGTCACATCTGCAGCGACACTAAAAAGAAACGAGCGGTTTATTAAGAAACCGCAATCTCCCATGATGGGAGATTCAAACCAAAAGCCGTCATCAGATGACGACGAGGATCAACATGATCTGGCATTAGCAACCACCTCAGGGCTGGTCCCTGAAGGTTTTAGAAACTTATGTGGAGTAAGTGCGGGGCCAAATACCCCCAGAACTCCACAACATACCGATCTAACCCAAGCTGGGGAAGATCCCTCACCTCCTCACGAGGTGATCGACTTGCGCGAAAAATGCGTAAGCGCCGAACGATCAGCCCAAAAAGCTGATCGGATAGAGTCGCAGGAAACTCCAGGGCCCCACTATCCCCTGGAGTCCCCCCTCATGTCCCCAAGTCAAGCCCCAAAGGCAGACAAAGGGAAACAAAGGGAAGAGCCCCCGCGTCGGCTATCTGAAAAACTACTGAACTTGTTCCAGGTTCCGTCTGAATGGAGGACGGAAAGTGAAGACCAACTTCTTCTCAGGCTAAAAGCCTGAGAAGGCACAAAGATACGCCCTGAGAGCAGGATCTCCCAGAGCGCGGAAGCTCCAAAAGAACTTCCACTGTTTACACTCCCACACACCATGCCAGACAAGGCAAGGTCGCCAACCTCGGAGGAGGTCTCCGAGATAATGAAGAGGAGGCGAACTGAAATGAGGGAGTTCGCTGAGGAAGCCTTACACAAAAGTAAGGAAAAACCAGTGAACAGACCCCTCTATGAAAGGGAAGCACCCTCCGCAACGGCCTCGCCTAAACAAAGCGAGCGTGGAGTGTTCACTCCAAGAACCCATTCTGGAACTGTCAGGGCACACCCCGCCCGACCCTCGCTCCGCTCCCCCGCTCCGCACCGCTTCTCCCTCTTCCTTTCTCCTTTCTCCCTTTCTTCCTTTCTTTCTTTCTTTCTTTCTTTCTTTCTTTCTTCCTCACATGGACCACCTTTCTCGCTGCCCAATGTATCACCGGCGTGCATGCCCACTTCCCCTCCTGTATCTCACCGTTCCTATATCGCCGCCATCGCCGCTGCACTTGCCCCACACCCACAGCGGGCCCTCTCGGGATCTCCCGCGGAGGCACCCGGAGACCCGTGGCTGTGTGCAAGGGTGATGTGGCGTGCCCCACGTGACTGATCCCGCATGTATATAATAACAGCTGGAGTGGGAACTGAAGAAGT